GGACTAAACTAATCTGTGAAAAGAAAAAAAATTGTATTAAGTAATCATAAATGATCCAATTTTGAGCAGCACAGATTTTTGATGTTGTACTCAAAACAGAAGGTGCCTTCAACGAAAATGTTCTGTCTAAAATGTGGGCAATTGTTTTTCTTGAGTGCAATCTGTTAGAAACTAGTGCTACTATGTTTTGCAAGCTTCAGTTCAGAGTGTGTGCTAATCAGGGTTTGTTTATAGATTAGAGATAACGACCACACATCATAGCCTTCCTTGTCTCTGCTCTGATCGTAAGCCACCTTTCGTTAGTCGTGAATTAGTAGTCCTGCACACTATGTCACCAGGTACTAGGAAAGTTCATTAGTCAGACACTACGCATTTTAATATTTGAGGTATTACTTCTCAGATATCACGAATCTAAATATTTGAGTGTTTATTCCCAATCCAGTCTGATGTACTAGGGAAGTTCATCAGTTAGATGCACTAAAAAGAGTTGTTCTGCATGCTCCATTTGGAAATGCAGTCCTGCTCCCTCCGGCATACTGTAGATTACAATCACAATTGCTAAACTATTGGTGAGTAAATAATCTCTCGAGTGACAATATAACATGTTTCTGAAATCATCTCAATCATCACTCTTTGCACTTGGAACTCGTTCGGTTGGTTTCTCTCACTCTGAATAAAATGTTTCCAAAATGGCAAAATCTCTCTTCTCTGCCTTGAGGTTCATACAGCAGCTACGGTGCAGAGACATCATTGGCAGGTTCCAAAATCATCACTCTGAATGCTTCAGATCTCTTGTACACTTGCACTGCCCTCGCTCGTGTCCTATGTTATGCAATGGATTCATGAAGAATGAATTGCAGTACAACATTCCAAATGATGCAATTCATTCTTTCTTCATTAATGAGTAGTGCTCCAAACGATACAATTCATTCTTTCTTCATGAATGAAAATTGCAGCAGAGCATTTCTGAAAAGCTGACTATAATTTAAGCTCTTAATAATATAACAAGAGTAGTGCTCCAAGCTCTTCGGAAAATCAGGTGCAACCTGCTAGACGCTAGTCGACAAGTGGATAATCGGCTACAGCCAAAAAATAGAAACAAGACACCCATGTATATTTGCTAGTAAGTTTTAATATTAAGAAGAGCACCAAATAAACTCTACAAAGGAAGACATCAATAAAAGGACAAGTCAATTCTTCAGTTCAATAAACAGAGACAAGAGACAACTAGATTGCTAACTATTTGAGTACTGAGAAGAACACTACCAATAAACAGTCAGACCTTCTTGATTATAACTTGTCTAGCCGGCTCATAGTGGACCTAATTCATACACACTGCAACAGTCAAATAAAAAAAAGAATACGTGGCTGCCACTTATACAGAATCTAAAGGGAAGACAATCTGGGCGTATACAAGTTTCATTTCTCCAGCTTATCTTAACATCAAACATCACATGAAGCATTGATTCCTTAAAATACTTAGCCACTAAACTGAAATGATTAATATTATTCCAAACCATGCAAGATGCAACCCAAAGACAGAATTATAACAGTATGTTTGTGTTTCAATACCTAATCAAATGCAATGGAATCATGAACCGCAAGCAGAGCATTTCATCGAGAAGTTGCTCATAATGCAATCTTTCAATTAAACTAATTCTCCTAGCTCTTGTAAGAAAATCAGTTGCAACTTGCTAAGATCATGGCTCTGCACATAATAGTGGACCCAATTAACCCGCATTGCACCGGTTACAGAGAATAAAAGATCATGGCTCTGCAGATCAGTACAAGTTTTATTTCTCGAGCATATGTTAAGATCAAACATCAGATGAAGCATTTGTTCCTTAAAATGGTCAGCTTCTTACCGCCACACACATGGTATTCAGGTTGGGCACAGGAAAAAATAATTCGGGAGGAAGGCAACCGAGGCACCAATGGTGTACCATCAACTTTGTTGTGAACAATAACACCATTCCTCCAAACAGTGCCACAGCCTCAACAGGACTTTACTTCTGATCTCCTCCACTCACAACCTGTCAGGACCTGAATTTCTGGGTGCCTCTTCAGAACTTGCTGCAGCTCAGCTCATAATGCCACTGTCTTGTTAGTTGGTAACTCTCTTCCTATCATGTTTTGTCACGATACGCCGACCCAAGATTTTCAAGTGTTTTGCTGTCTCCTTGTTTGCAGAACAGACATGCTTGCCCTTAACAAAAAAACATTTTGACCATCAACATGCTTGCTCATAAAAAGCACAAGAGGTCAGTAGCATTCATGTGCTATTTCACCAAAGGGAGGTCAAACAACAGGACCAATGACCTAGGAATCTGGTGACCAGTTAGGCACTTGGGCTGGACACACATCTCCGCGAACAAAATGCCAACAACCACAACCATAGATGATAAACTATGCTCACTCATACAGGAGGATTCAACTCATTTTCTTTCTTGCAAACTTGGTGCACTATGCTGCAGGAGGAAACACAGGAGTTCAATGCAAGTTCTATCATCAACCTGAAAGATGCCTACACACGCTACTTTAGAAGAGACCTTGTGAAGTGCACTTCCACAGTCGCTACGGCTTGGCTTATCATCTGCAAATGTTGTAGTGAAAAGGTCATGTGGAGCTAGAGAGGCTTCGGCTCAAAACATTATCACAGCTGTGTTATACCTGCTCAGTGAAGGATCCAGCTCCTTCCAATCGCGTGGCACCTTCTCAGATATCGCATTTGTATCTGTGAAGAATCAAGTATATTCAACAATTTATTTGCAGGTCCACAACTCATCAAATAACAATCTACCTGACCACAAAGTCTGTATTATCATGGCGCAAGTGCAAATGTTAACTTCAAGATCATTTTGCACATGTCCTTCACAGCTCAAGAGATTAGTACCTCGTAATCTGAACTGCAAGCTTACCAGACAGTGAACTATTTTTTCCTTATGATGGCAGCTGATTGCTTGCACTAGCGTGATAATAATACAACTTTAGGTAAGTTACCAAACAGTATTGTGTGGGGATGGAAATTGGGCACGACAGTTTCTTGAAAACTCTGAATAGGAAACAATCCCTAACGCTCAAATTAACAACCAGAAACTCCAGTAAAAAAAAAAACACGAGTAAAAAGGGCGCCACAAACACCAGCCCCAGTTAGTCCTTTCTCATCTTTGCTATCAACTCTACATATGTGATCCTAATTTTCAGAGGAATAGTGTCAGTATAATATTAATTCGTTAAAATAGTTAGCAGCCAAAGTGAAGTGATAATTCCAAATGATGCAACAAGAACCTGAAATTATAACAGAGTATTTCAAATGATGCAAGGGATTCATGAAGAAGGAATGAATTGCAGCAGAATATTTCTGAAAAGCTACTATAATTTAATCACTTAATATAACAAGAGTAGTGCTCCAAGCTCTTCTAAAAACCAGGTGCAAATTGCTAGCCAACAAGTAGATAATCGGCTAGCTACCAGCAAAAAATAGAAACAAGACACCCGTGTGCTAAGTTTTAGTATTAAGAAGACCATCAGATAAACTCTACAAATGAAGACATCGGTAAATGGATATAATTCAATTCTTCAATTCAGTAAACAGAGAGAAGAGGCAGCTACATTGCTACCTCGAGTACAGACAAACTACTACATAAAGGGAGAGAGGGGAGGGGGGAGGGGATCTATTCTCCGGTTCAAGAGAACAGTGACACGAGTCAGAACAGTTGCCAACATTTCAAACAATGAACCAAAAGAAAGGAACACAGCCTAACCATGATAACCTTTCTTCTCTTATCAGTACATATTTCACTTGTCCAGCTTATTTTAGGATTGTCTTAGCATCAACACTTATGTCAGCCAAATGATTTATAGTTTTAGCATCTACACTCACGGCAGCCACTTCGGCCCAAAAGGATATTCAGAGAAATATAAGACAACCATGTAACACTCAGAGCTTGTTGATCATAATTTTTTATGGATAAAAAAAGAAGCTAGCGGCCTCATAGCGGATCCAGTTAATACATACTGCGGTTCAAGTGGACACAGGGAGCTAGGCCCATAAGAAACACCACAATCAACCGCCCTCAGATGAAAGGCTGTGTGTTGACAACATAATCTTGTGGTCAGATGAAAGGCGATGCGTTGACAACATAACCCTCTAGTGTCGGAAAGAAGGTATGCTGAACAAGAGATTGTTTCAGCCGATTTTGAGTAGGACCAACGCCTCTGCCATGGAAACTGGCAACCAACTTTCCATCCATATCAACCTGAAGTAGCCAATCACCAAATTTGGCCAGCACAAGCACATGACCATCCCAAGAGGGAAACACCACACAGCAACGTTTGTTAATCTTCCCAAACTGTGCTGTGAGGTCTGCAACCGGCAAATTGACCCGATATTTGAAGGCCCAAACCTCATTGGCATAGTCCTGTGCTATCCAGATATCAATGGATGTCGTCGGATCAGTGAAGATGGACGCGGCAAGCATTCCATCCATCTCAAACAGGTTAGCGGGGCCAGGAGTAACCGGAGCAGACATCTCACGGAACAACTCGGTTGTGGTGTCAAATACCATTATCACGTTGTGCCGATGCCAATGTAGGCTACCATGGAACATGACAGATCCGAAGGTGTTTATCAGTGTCTCCACATCCCTGCACCCTATGTGCCTGGGCAGCTGGCCGGAGCCTACAGAGAGGATGTAGCAGCCAGCTTGAGCGTCAGGTACCAGTTTGGAGGAAGACAGGTAGAGCAGTAGTCTGTACTCCCCAGTTGGGCCGTGTGGATACATCCCCAAGGGTATGAAGCCAGAAAGGAGCGGGAGACGAGCAAGCTGACGAGTTGCCGGATTGCAGAGGACTAAGTAGCCATTGGCCATGGAGAGAAGGAGGAGGCCGTCGCAGGAGGCGAAGAGGCGGAAGTAAGCATCATGAAATCGCACGACGGACTGGAGCCGGTCGGTGGCGGCCTGGTGCTCCAAGGGGAAGGAGATGGGGATGGTGTCTAAGGCGTGGCCGCCGTAGCCGATGCTGTTCAGGTCGTCGAGGAGAGGGAGGGTGGGCTGACTGGCGTGGTGGGCGAGGAGGAAGTCGCGGGTGGAGGTGGCCCGGCGCCAGGCGGGGCAGACGGCGCGGCAGCGAAGGAGGGATTTGGGGGGCAGGCGGACGAGGATCTCCCAGATGAAGATCTCCTCCGGGAGGCCGCGGTGGGGAGGCGGCGCTCTCGCTCTTGCTCTTGCTGTGTCCGCCATTGTGGCCTCGCCGGTTGGTGCGAGCTCTCGATCCGTCCGACGAGCAGCGCGAGTGGAGCGGTGGTGGTAGTGACGGCGGCGGCGAACGGAGAGGAGAGGAGAGGAGAGGTAGGTCTTTTTTCTCGCGGTCGCGGATGCCTTTGGGCTTAGCCCATCTCTCCTTCTTTAACGGGCTGGACTTGGCCCAGGTCCGTTTGCAACTGAAAAATACCTTCAACGGCAACAACCATGCGTGCTGTGCTGGAGATTTGAGAGCAGTTTCCAGTCTTGTTTCTTCTTCTTTTTTTGCGAAAATTATTTCTTCTTCTTCTTCTTCTTTCTTGCGGGGTAGTTTTCAGTGGAATTGATATTTGTCTTTTAATAGCCATAATTAAATTTTCTATTGTGCTAGAGTTCGAAGCGGTGACTGAATTTAGATTCAAGCTAATAGTCATTTTACTACTCCCCCCGTCCCAAAATAAGTGACTCGACTTTGTACTAACTTTATAGTAAAGCTAGTATAAAGTCGAGTCACTTATTTTGGAACGAAAATTCAAAAAAAAATTATTTTGGGACGTAGGGAGTATATTCGTTATCATTCGGCAAAACTCCACCTAATAACCATTTTTGGCTAAAGTCTGAAATAAACCCTAAGGTTGTAGAGCTCGATGCAAATGAACATCCACCTTCAAATCCCTAAAGTTTGTACCTTGTACTCTGCAATCCCAGTTGTTTTTAACTGTATTATGTTTGCAAATTAAACTTTGCCAGCGATCTTTTAACGAGCTTGATTTGCTGGATTAAAACCCACAAAAATGCATTGTCATATTCACATTAATCCGGTGGGATTGATTTGTTGTCAAAGTTTGTTTGATTACACCAAAATGATATTAAAGTAACAGGAGGCACTATTAAAAAATCTTTTCCAAGAGGTTCTGTAGACAGTTATTTAATGAAATATGATGTAAAAATCGTTAACGAAAATTATCATAGGATTTGATACTACAAATCAAAGGACCCACATAGACAAAAACATCATCCGTATTATATCATCTAAATCTTCTATCAATATCCCTCACATCATGGAGATATGTACGTTCTACATTGGCCCCATTGATTATTACTATTGATGTTGTTATCTTCATCCAAAAGATACGAAAGGTATGTCCCTCAAGGACGACGAGATTTCAAATACTTGAAGTTCACCCAGATTTTGCACATCTTGATTCTTGCTTTGAATAAATAATTGCACAGAGCCTCATGATTCATTTATAACGACCAAGCAAGCAAGCACAATGTGCCATGCTGACCTTCTTTACCTTCCCCTACTTTATGTCCAGCGGAACATCGCAGACTATATGTATGCTCGGAGCACATACCTATGTATCCCAATGATTCCACCACTAATCCCAGTCGCTACTTGTGTCAGAAAGATAACGGTGTCTATGCGTACTTAGGATTGCGAGGCATTGGGAATGAGTACACTGTAGCATGAGAAGGCATTGGCGCCTGTACTCAAGAATTCAGTATCTGCTGAGCACGAGCAGAAAATATCCCTTTTTCTACCACTAACAGCCAATTAAAGTATCAGTTTTGTGTTAAAGAAGCAGGTAGTTAAGAGCTTGTGCTGACGAGAGTAGCAAAAACCTCAAGAAAAGTCCTCTAGAACCTGATGACAAGTAGGATGAACTTCTTCCACATGTGTTTGTCTAATGTATGGTGAGAGAAACACAATTTCAGTGTTAGTTCTAACTGTCACTGGGTATTCATGGATGCTTGTTCCTACTCTTGTCAGATTTTGGCTGCATACATGCAAATGCACTGAATTCAGATCCAGTGCAAGTTAAAAATAGGGGATGAATCATTGTGCCATGTTCCAAATTAGAAACTGAGAGAAGAGGGAAATGAGTCATTAGCAAATCATATAGCTGCAAGAAAATCTGTTTTGATTGCTGACTGCACAGTCTTAACTATACATCTATGAAAATATACTACTATTGCTCTTGGAATTTCAGAGCTGCTGTAGTGTTGCTTTATATAAAGATGTCCTGCTCACTTGATTGTGTAGCATAGGTGTGTAAGTAAGAATTCAAACTGAACGATAATAATATCAGGCTTAGAGATGCACATCCCTAATAACAATGATCACAAGTGTGTGTAGCAGCATATGTGCAATTTTGGTCACTAACTATAACAAATTGTTGGAAATACAGACCACTATGTGCATTCAGAGAAAACTCTGCACATCCCTTGTTAGTTACACTGGCACAGGTCTGCAGTCTGAACTATACATTTCTGAGAATGTACTACTCTTGCTCTTCGAAGTTTAGAGTTGTTGTAGTGTTGCTTTATACTGTATATAGATATCCTGCTCACTTGATTGTGTAGCATAGATGTGTAAGCAAGAGTTCAAACTGGACCATAATATCAGGCTTAGTCACTGAAAATGATCACAAGGGTGCAGCATATGTGCAGTTTTAGTCACTGATTATAACAAATTGTTGGAAATACAGACCACTATGTGCATTCAGCATAAACCCTGTACAACCCTTGTAGTTACACTAGCACATGCCTGTGAGCAATAATTTCAACTTCTGCATACTAGTGGGAGTGATTTGGCTATGTTGATTGGAGTTAGCAGCACACGCCGTGGAAAAAGCAAGGAACGCTAGTATGCACGAGTGGTGAATGCCTGCTCTTCTAATGCACATGCAGTCTAAGATGATGAGACTTAATTTTGGCCGGTGTCAGATTGATCAAACACAAGCTTAAGGCCCAGCCATGATAAACCTTTCTTCTACTTATCAGCACACGAGCTTATGTCTAGATTGAACATCACATGAATCATTGATTCTTTAAAATGGCTAGCAGCTAAAGTGAAATGATAAAAGATAATTGCAAATGATGCAACACAAAGGTGGAATTTTAATGTGTTATAATTCCTAACCAGATGAAATGAATCGTCAACAAGAATGAACACAAACAGAATATTTCCTCCAGTAGTTGACTATGATGCAATCTTTATATTAAACCAGTGCTTCAAGCTCTTGTAAAAAAAAAATCCATAACAGAGAATATCATAGAACTCGGGTGCAGCTTTACTAAGAACACCACCAGCTAATCTCTAAGAGTAGCAAAAGGAAAACATAGAATCGGGATTCATGAAGCATGTGTATATTTACTCCTAAATTTGCGTACTAAGAAGACCTCCAGGTAGTCTCTAATAAAGAAGACTCAAGTCAATTCATCGGTTAAATAAACAGAGACAAGAGGCAGGTAGAATTGATAACTAGTATTGAGTACTAAGGAGATCACTATATAAAGGGCGGATAAGTCCATTTCATCAGTTCAAGGAAACAAAGGGGAGAGCCAGAGCAATTGGCAGATATTTCAAATGCAGTCCCAAATGACTTGTAATTTCAGCATAAACACCCACCTTCAGCCCAAAAGGATATTCACAGAAATAAAACACAACCATGTAAGATCAGAGCTTCTTGATCATAACATTTTACACATCAACAAAGAAGCTAGCGGGCTCATAGCAGGTCCAATAAATACATACTACAGCTCAATGGATACAGAGAGCTAGGTCATTAACAAGCACCAACACACTCAACAGCCCTCGGGTGAAAGGCTAGCTGTCCACAACATAATCATCCGGTGATATGAAAGGCAAAGTGTTCACAGCATAACCCGCTAGTGTCGGAAAGAAGGTATGTGGAACAAGAGTTTGTTTGAGGTGGAATTAAGTAAAACGGACTAATTTGCGATGAAAACTGGCAACCAACTTGCCATCCGCGTCAACCTGAAGTAGCCACTCACCAAATTTGATCAGCATGAGCACATCACCATTCCAACAAGTGACCACCACATTCCAAGTTTCGGTAAACTTTCCAAATTGCGCAGTGAGATCCGTAACGGGCAAATCAACACGGTATTTCAAGGCCCAGGCCTCGCTGTCATAGTCTTGTGACATCCAGATATCAATGGTTGTGGCTGCATGATTAAAGCTGGACATGCCGAGCATTCCATCCATCTCAAACAGGGAAGCGTGGCCAGGAACAACCGGAGCGCGCATCTGCCGGAAGGACTCAGAGGTGGTGTCAAATAACATTATCATGTTGCTTGTGCTCGCATCCTTGTCTATGTGCCAATGCAAGCTACCATGGAATAAAATGGAGTTGCTAAACATCAATATGCCTGAATCAGGGTACCCTGTGTACCTGGGCGGCTCGCCGGAGCCTAATGTGAAGACATAGGAGCCATCTTGTGTGCCAGGTGCCAGATCTGGATAAATCAAATCCTCGTCCCAGTAGAGCAATAATCTGTACTCGCCGGTTGGGCTGTGCGGGTACATCCCCAACAGCACGTAGCCATAAATTTGTCGG